GTTGAAAACTGCCCGATATATTATTGCACTACAGTACTCTACTACAATACACGACCTGCACTAGCTATTCAACTACATGCTCACCTCGATGCCCCGAACCATTTTCCCTCTCGAAGTCTAACGTCGCTGTGGATATCTTCAAGCTCCAAGTACGAAATTGTGCTTTGGATGGAGGAACGGAAGGGCGAGCAGCGGGGAGTGGGAAGCGGAGGGCGGAAGGCGGCGGAGAGTGGGAAGCGGAAGGCGGAGGATAGCGGAGAATGAGGGCGATGGAGGGTGAGGTCGTCGGAGTGCACATGCGTACCATTCTGGGTGCCTGCATTCCTAAGCTGCTGTGTGAGTAGGGCTACTCGTGTTTTGGTGAGTTGGCGGGGCATTCACAACGAGTGTATGAGGGTGGATGAGGACACATCGTGCCAGGGACCGGGCGAAATGAGGCAAGCTTTATACACGCCTATGGCTCAAATGTCTTCCGCAAGGATGATAAGCGTGGAGCGAACAAACTTGGGCAGAGCAACCCCAAGTTTGGAGGTCACCTTAGGGCCAGCTCTATTGAAGTTGAGAATCCCGGCATGAATTGGTAGATATGCATAAGCAGTGTTGCGGTCATATGCATGCACCCGTGTCATGTTACAGTAGCACTAGTGAGTCATGGACAGTCACTGAGTACTGAGTGCCGAGTGGTTGACAAGGGCGACCATGCAGGCGGGGCAGAGATTGACAAGTGAATGCAACAAGTAGGTGCCAAGGACCGCGTCGAGCGTCAGTGAAACTTTCGGTGCCGTTGTAATTATCCTGAGATTGAGGTGAAAGCTATTTCACCCCACAATGACCCGACACCTCAATTTGAACTGCAAGTGAGGTCACCGTTCACTTTCACTCCATTTTTGGATGAAAAAACCCTCAACCGCTCGCCACAGTGGAGATGCGATGCCGGGATGTCATGGCGGACCGCGAGATACCCATCTTCCAGTCGGTCACCTTCAAACATTGCAGCGGTATCGATAGCGGAGAAGCAGACGCGCTGAGGTCGGTAGTCACGGAAGTGTATGTGTTCGAACGACAGTCAATCGTTAGTGCATCGTAAAGTAAATTTAAATACACGGGGACCTGCAGACTGCGAGTCGGAGCAAGCCGCGCCCCAACATTGGCATTGAATCGCACGTGGCTAGTTCTCTGCCGTACTCCAGGGTACTCCGCAATGTCTCCTGGTGCTGCCCAGTATCACAACCAATCTGGCGTACTGTCACAGGAGTGAAGCCCTAGGGGGCATCAAAATCTAGGCTCTTTGACCTTCAATGACCACGCTGCCTTGCGTTACTGCGTACCCCATCACTCAAAGGCTCCAGCTGCATCTGTTTGAGCGATGCGATTTGTCGCCGAAGGATGAACGAAGACATGGATACAAATGTAGTAGACGCTATACCGGCCGCAAGCCTGCCCATCGTTTGTGGAAGGTTAGTGGCCTTTCATGAGCTATTCGACCAGCGTGCGGAGCGTCTCTGATACACTGCCTAACAATCAGTGCGGCAAACAATGAGTCACGATCCTCCGGCACAGCGCCCAGCACCTCCATACGCGCGAATTGGGGCATGACGAAAGAAATTCGTCCGACGGTCATGTTCCCGAACCTGAACAGTGGCACACCGTGGTCGTCGCAACACGACACGAACGTAGACGTCGACACGCAAGACACTCCTTCGATGCACATATCGGATGCACACGCTTCAGCTACGCGGCAAGCTCACAACGCGTCCTTACCGATAGCACGACTCCCCGCGGACCTCGTGTCCGAAATATTCACATACCTCGTGCACTCCTACACGCCTTCAGCTTCATCCTCAACGCTCACCCAACCCACTTGCTCCACTCTTCATCTAGCGGTCGCGCAGGTCTGCGCATTCTGGCGCGCCGTAGCGCTCCGCACCACCCGGCTCTGGTCTGCGCTCGACTTGCGTCGACCAGCGCTTGCCCTCACCCTGCTGGAGCGCTTCCCCCACCTCCGGCCATCACTGGTATGGGCTTACGACCGCCCATTATTATCGAAACCAAAGGACTTCGCCGACGTCGCGCTCTGGAGCTGGATATTCGCCAACGCGCCGTCCCGCGTGGTCGAACTGCACCTCTCCGCGTACGCCTCCGTCATGCGTCGGGTGCTCGGAGCATTCAAAGGCCAAGCCCCGACGCTGCGCCACCTCTCCCTCCGTCGGCCGTGGAACTCGAGCATCGCCGAGATCGAGGACACGGAGGAGTACCTGCACGATCTCTACGCGCCGGCGCTCGAACACCTCGAACTCGTCAAGATGCCGTTCGTCCCGTGGGGTTGTGCGCTGTTCCGCTCTGCCAGCCGGTGCCTGCGCCGGCTCGTGATCAAGGGCGAATATCGGCCGAAGGCGACCACCCTCACGGCCGTCCTCGACGCGTTAGAGGGCATGCCGGCGCTGCGGGAGCTCGTATGGGTCGGGCGCTTGCCGGAGGCGCCGCTGCTCGCCGCTGGCGGTAGGAGACGTAAGATGGCGAGGCGAGTGGTACAAATGCCGCGCCTCAGGCGACTCGAGTTCGGCGGGACCTCGGCCGGGTGTTTGACGCTCCTCCGTCACCTGGCGCTCGTGAAGCCGCTCAGGGCGAAGATCAGGTGCGACGGCGACGAGTCGTTCGTGCAGATCTGGGAGATCATGCGGACTGTGTGCCTCCCCTCCTCCGTGCCCGAGTCCTTTTCTTCTGGCGAGAGTGCTGTGGCGGAGGGGAGATCGCTGCGGATCGCGTACCTAGGGAACGAGGTGGAGGTCGTCGTCTCCGCGTGGCGGACGGAGCCGCTGACGCTCGCGTTTCGGACGGGCGGCGTCCGGTGCAGGTTGCATATCGTCAGAACGCTCGCGCCGTGGTTGGCGCTCGTGCGTCCGACGCGACTCGAGCTCGAGATGGGGTTCGGGGAGCATTATGCAGATCCGTTGGGTGAGTGGAGGGAGATGTTGGCTGGTTTTGGGTCGGTGAGGGAGCTGCACCTGAAGAGGACGAGTGGGGCAACGTTCATTCTGCGCGCGATGCGGTATGGACGCCCTGGCGTGGTGGGAAGGGAGAGAGAGGGTCACAGAGGCGAGGATGAGGAATTGTTGCCAAAGCTGGAGAGGATGATTATCGAAGGCGTGCCGAATACGGTGGACGGACCTTGGCTTGGCGCATGCTGCAAGGAGCTGGAGCGCAGAAAGAAGGATGGAAGGTCGAAGCTGAGGGAAGTGAAGCTCGTCAGGTGTGACGGTATCACGGCGGAAGAGCTGAAGGCTCTGCGGGGCGTCAACGATGGAGTCGGTGTTTCGGAACTTGGTTGCTTCGATGCTCAAGTCGGCCAGCAGACTCCCCGAGCCGACGCTCTCCGATCCTGATTTCATGCCCTGACTCTTTCGCGGCTTTGGTTGGCACACGGTGAGCATTTTCTTTGACTAGTGAAAGGATTATCCTCATACTCCCGTACAGGAGCGCCTATGTGGCCTCTGCCTGCCTCATCGATCCTTGACGGGACGTCGCTTTGCACGGGTTCACTTTAGGCGTGCCGGATGACACTTCCAAGATCCTCACCTCGAACTCAAGGTGGCCAGATCTGCGTATGATGGAGCGCGCTCGGCAAGCTCTCATACGCTGTTTATGCATCTTCAGGTGGTAGTGGTCATAGAACGGCCGCGTATAATCGTCAGTGACGACATGCGGTATGTAACGGTAGCAGTAGATAGATAGATATCTAATCTAATGGATTACCGATAAGATAATCTTAAGGTTCTTGATCAGTCGGCGAGGCCTTTAGTTCGAGTAAGACGGTAGTTAATTCAGTAAGTATTCAATCTATCTATAGATGCTTCATACAACGAAGCATGCAATAGATTCAATCGATTACTATCTAAGATATACACGGGAGCTCCGAGAGCTCGAGAGGCGCGCTAAGTGCCTATCTTATACTTGCGAGTATGAGTCAGGTGAGTCAGCGTATGCAGATGCGACGCTATCCTACGATAAGCTACGCTATTCGGGTGCGTTCTACACGATTCTACTTACTTCTACTCAGGTCTGTTACACTACCCTCCGGTAAAAAGAAAGGATCGTCCCGATCCGTAGTTGTACATACAAAGTAGTTAGAAAATGAGTCCATTCGAAAATACAAGTGTCCTAAGTCGAGAAGGGAAAGAATAGTCCATACTGAAGGCGTCCGAGATGCCGGAAGGCGCAGGCAAAGTCTATGTCCCAAAAGGGACGGGTAATTTCCTATTTTGGTATCGCTTAGACGCGGGACCGAGTCCTTGGGTCGCGTACGCGTTCTGCGTGCCCTGTAAACCGATCGAGCCAGACGCCGTGAACTCCCTGGTACTGGGGAGCATGAAGACGAAGCTGGCGAGCGAGACGAGGGGAGATAATAGGACGAGGGGTGATATTTGAGGTATGGCCCCAATAATGGTCGACAGCGCGGTTTCCTGCAGGATAGGAACCGATATTGATGTCACGGACCCAATCATGGGGTCCTGAGCCGATGCGATAGTCGATAGCGTTGTCGAAAACATGATGGTCGAGTATCTTGAGGATCGGCTTTCGCTCGAGGATGAGATTAGCATGACGAGCTGAAGAGGCGATCCTGTTGTGAAGGGAT